CAGCATTAGACCCATGTCTACGAGGCGGCTGACAACATTATTGGATTAACCAACGGTGGTGTAACGAATGGGTTTGTAAAAGGACATTTCAATTGCTTGTCCTGACAGTTCAAGCTACGTTGTTCATTCCGCCAGCTCAGAAAAATGACGGCAAAATCGACTAGGGATTATCACAAGAAATAGCTAACTGAAGTGGCGACCTAAATAAAGCAGTCTTGACAATCCTTGGAATGTGTCTACGGAGCCGATGCGATACCTCCAGCGCCACAAAAATCTACGCATACCGGGTGTCTGTCTCATCAGTTCTCTTAGTAGGGAATGTGTGCTTGGCTATTAATGTAAGAAATAGGTTAAAAACCTGAAGTATTGGACCACCAATGACTGAAAATGATCCTTCCAGAGAAATACATCTACAGTCCGCACTCACTTTGGAAGCATCTAAGGTCATTCAAGTCAGACAACTGGGGTGGTTTGGACAGCTTCCTTGTGACTCCATGACTCTAATGTCAGAAATTCGACTCGGCCGGCAAAGCGGATGGCAAAAAGGCCAAATCAAAGCCTGGTATTAAAGAGGTTTTTACATCTACGGTAGTGTCCGCCTCTGAGTTGAGCAGCAAAATGGACTTTGGAGAATTCGGAAACAAAAATAAAACTATGCCAGTGATCGCTTCCTCCTATTTGACTGCCTAGCGCAATGGCAGTTACTGCAGGTGGTTTCACGTGGAGAAGAACCAATCGGACAATAAGGACAGTAGGCACGATAATCGTCGTATTCAACGTGAGTAAACAAACACGGGCCTACCAAGTCGAACACAGATAAATGGTCCACCGGTGTAAGTGTTAAGAGGGTTGTCATCCTTACTCACGGTATGTTGCGAAGCTATGAGTTAGCGCGACTGATGTTCGATCGTCTGGAGGTCCGAATATCCAAACTATAGCACGGATAAACACATGGATACATACGAAATAGCCACCATCAGGGCTGACAGATACGTGAACTGTCTACTCTACGCACCGATTACGATCAAAACACCAAAATGCGCAGCGCAAAACCGAATGAATACGCAACTGACAAATTACGGACTCATAAATTTTCACTTCAATCTCAGTAAAACGCCAAACTCCGGTCGCCATCGCGAGATTTTCAGATTAGTGACTTTGGCATTTGTGTCAACTCGAAGGAAATTTATTAGAGACAATGCCAGCCGTACCATTTTTTA